CAACCTGTTGCAGTGGTGTGCCGTTTAGAAAGTAGGTCCTGGAGCTGGGGGCTCTGAAGCCGCCGAGTTGAAGAAAGTTACAGTTGCTTATATTAAGGGGCATAAGCCAGCGCTTCGACCAGTCTTCGAGCCTGTTCAAGTTTGCTTGCAGGTGGTCTGCGTCTGCCGCATCGTGAATAACTTTCCACAATTTTATGTCGTCGGCAAACAGGATGGCATCACAGTCTAGGTCCTTGACGCAGTCATTTACGAAAACGAGAAATAACGTGGGACCTAAGACTGAACCCTGTGGGACGCCACTCACCACGCTTACATCTGAGGACTGTTGACGCCCGACCTGCACTCTCTGGGACCGTCCAGCCAAAAAGCTCTGGATCCATACAAGAAGGTGTCCACGAATTCCAGCGTTGCGCAGTTTGTACAAGAGACGTTGGTGAGGAACGCTGTCGAAAGCCTTTTTGAAGTCGATGTAGATGGCGTGCACCACATTGCCTTCATCACGTGCTTTGGTCCAGCGTTCGAGCGTAAAGAGCAGATTCGTGAGGCAGGACCTACCACTTCGAAAGCCGTGTTGGGCATCAGAAAGGAGATGGTGCTGCTCGAGGAACTGCACCAAGGCCTTCTTAATGATCTTCTCCATGATTTTGCAACAGATGGAGGTAAGACTCACTGGCCTCTAGTTATTCGCAGACGCACGACTTCCACCCTTAAAAAGCGGAGTGATGGTAGCGGACTTCCAGTCAGAGGGCAGGCATCCAGTAACAAATGACGTTTGAAAGATCAAGGCTAACGGTGACCATTGTTAACTAACTCATTTTCAGCTGGAAATCCACGGGCTGGATACTGTAACGTATTTCCGCCGGAACGAAACTGAGGAGCGGTTGAGTTAACTGACTCAGTATGGACATTAGCATGAGGGATGCATTGGTAAAACACCCGTGGAGGAAACATGTTCGGGAGTGGGGACGCACTGTTTCCATTGGAGTAAGAATTCTTTAAAAGGGCGGGAATGTCGGCTCTGATGGAACCCCGACGGGTCTTTAATAAAAATTACCTATCTATATTCGGCCTAGCCGCCTCGATATGTGGGCGGGGGGGGGGGTAGTTGGAAGCACACTATGTTTTGGGTCGCATTGTTTGGGACATTGTTAGGCGATTGCAGATGAAAAGATTTCATAATTGAGCTTGATTTACCAGGTGTTTGAGTAGCTGAGACCGCATTTGGATTGGCCTTTGACTTAGGCACATGTTTATGCTTACTGGGGGTTGCTGGAAGGTTTATAGGAGCGTTTTTATACCAGGCGTGCTGATGCGTTTAAAGATCTTAGCATCTAGATCCCAAATCGTCTGTTAATGATCGCGGCTGTGTCCTCTCTTCTAGTCATTTTCTGATAGTTTAATCGGCCACCAAAGAACTCTCATTTTCGCATTTTCACGCGCTTTGATAATACTCGCAGTCTTAAGTGTTCCTTCTTCGTTCGGGCTTCATGTCGACTGTGGCCGATCGCGTTGTTATCGACCTATCATGCCACCTTCACGGCTGCTTCCGCTGTACTCCCAAAAATGATTAATATTGCATCTGCATCGGATAATCTCAACCGGCCGAGAAATTCCTCCTTGGTGTGGGACGTTGCGAACCCTTGTACTCTTCCACCGACATTAAGGTCTTGCCTATACTCGCATATATGCGTCCTCATGATCGACTATATGTTTTTCTCCCTGAAACGAATCAAATCACATTCATTTTGCCCTTTCAAAAAATGGAAGGGTTTTTTCCCACTGTCCATCAATCTCTCCTCATATTAGTCTGCACCCATTTTATGGGCACAAACTGAAAACTGTGCATTGTTAGTCTTCTCATTTAAAACTCATTTAAAAATGTATTTTTGCCTACTTTTATTTGCCGTCAAAGTAACTCATGGGTGTTAAGTGATACTATTTATTGCTTTTATCGACATGCCCAACGTATTTCTATTCGAGTACAAACAAATCTGAGGTGAGCACACACAAACCTACAAGATTATGAGGAATCGAGACTACGCTAAGCAATTTGATGACTCATTCATATTGGCCACAAAAATAGCCGGCTTATAAACTATCTCACACCTCGCCGAACCTTATACCGTCTGCGTGTTTGTAGATATTCGTTTTTGCGTCGAGTCATTGAAGCATGAGATGGACTTCTCGAGGGAGTAGTCATGGCGGGCACGAAAGAGACATTTAAGTGTTTGTGTGTTTACTTGAAAGATATCGCCCAGTCGGATAGGAAAGTTCTGCTACAGCACACCAGCGTTTTGCTCATACCTATCACAAAAGCGGATATCTATTGTTTCACCTCGTTGACACCTGGGGTAGCTGTGTCTATGTCCCACCACCACGACCATGTCTTGCAAATTGCATATCTTGCTGAAAAAAATTATATTTATATGCTTATGTTGAGCTGAGTGTTGCACGAACCGTTTTTAGGAAGTCTGCCAAGGCAGTCGCTACTGCCCATAAACATACTGAACTATACGGAACAGCGGTATAGAAACCTCAGGTGACCACGTTTGGCCGCACTTGAGACCCTGTACTTGCGTCGTGTTTCGCGCTTTCTCGAACACTTAAAATCTTGGATTACTACAATTTTGCGACAGACAAGGGCACAACAGGTGGGTGTCTGACTGTTCTCTTTTTTCTCCGTCACAGATCGTTTTAACGGTTCGCATACACAGCAAAAATATAGATATCTCCTGTTAGAAAACCAGTAGCTTGCAACGCTGTGGAACCTTCTCGATCATGACTTCAGAATTCTGGGGTATCATTGGCGTGTCTGTATATCTCTCATAGATTTTTTCGACAAATGTAAGGCAGGTTTGCAGACAGAAGCATAAAAATGCGTGATTTAGAAGTTTGTGAAGCTATTTTACGTCTCGTAACTCATGTTATGCAGCAGTACCTCCGGGGCGGATTTCACACTTACTCCTACTTCAGTGACCTGCTCTTACATACTCTCCACCTCAGTAACTTCTTCACCAACGCCCATTTTCTGATGCACCTTCCTGTTGTTCTCTTCTTTTTCCAGTACTGCTCAGTTCCTGTGAGAGAAACGTAGGTGTTGAACCTTAGAACTCTCTATTAAGTCTCGTGCTCTACCAACTGAGCTAGATGGGCGACTAAACCGTGCAAAAAATAGCTTCCAAAACTATGTACCGAACGCGCTGTATTGCTTAATTCATTGTCCATCATGCTTATTTTTGGCAGAGCTGAAGTTAGAAATCCGAGTCACAGAATTAGATCCTGCCTTCTGCGACTTTAACAACCCCTTGTTTATCTGCATGGATCCCGAATATGGACGTGAGATTTCAATCGGGCTGTTGCCAAGTTCGTTATGGCGTCCCTCTTGCGTTCTGGTCTTTCGTGTCTGTCCGCTCGCGTCGGCCATCTTACCGCTCCCACGGTCCTGGGTGCTGCCCGCTGCGCTTCCACGGTCGCTAAGGATTACACAATTATTGATCATGCGTACGATGCCGTCGTCGTGGGAGCCGGTGGCGCAGGACTTCGAGCTGCCTTCGGTCTGGCAAACGAAGGTTTTCGGGTGGCTTGTGTCACCAAACTTTTCCCAACACGGTCGCACACTGTTGCTGCCCAAGGTGGTATCAATGCAGCATTAGGGAATATGGAAAAGGACGACTGGCGATATCACATGTTCGACACCGTCAAGGGTTCGGACTGGCTGGGCGACCAGGATGCGATATACTACATGTGTGAGCAGGCACCAAAGGCTGTTATCGAACTCGAAAACTACGGAATGCCTTTCAGTCGGTTGGAAAATGGGAAGATTTACCAACGAGCTTTTGGTGGTCAGAGCATAGATTACGGAAAGGGCGGCCAGGCGCATCGTTGCTGCGCCGTTGCCGACCGTACGGGTCATTCGCTTCTACACACTCTTTACGGACGTTCCCTCCGCTACCAAACAGACTACTTCATCGAGTACTTTGCATTAGATCTCCTGATGGAAAATGGTGTTTGCCGCGGTGTAAACGCAATTTGTCTTGAGGATGGTACTATTCACCGGTTCAGAGCCAAGAACACGATTCTTGCCACTGGGTAAGGTCCTTATTTAGTGCTTCATCACCACTTAGGGGTTATGGCCGCGCCTACTTCTCTTGTACTTCTGCGCATACATGCACCGGTGACGGCACTGCTATGGTCACCAGGGCAAATCTCCCCAATGAAGACATGGAGTTTGTTCAGTTCCATCCCACAGGTACATCATCCCTCTTTTATAGACAACGGGAAAGCAGCTTTGTAGTGCATTTGAGCCAGATGTCCCTTTAGGCTTGTCAGATATATTTTGACTCCGCCCCACAGGCCTACTATGTCAGTTTTTTGTCTTCAGGAATCTATGGCGCTGGCTGTCTCATCACCGAGGGCTGCCGTGGCGAGGGTGGTTTCCTCATTAATAGCAAGGGTGAGCGTTTCATGGAGAAGTATGCGCCAAACGCTAAGGATCTAGCTTCAAGAGATGTTGTCTCACGCGCCATGACTATCGAGATCCGAGAGGGACGCGGTGTCGGTCCGCGAAAGGATCATTGCTACCTACAGCTCAGCCACTTACCTGCCGAGGTCCTCCATTCGCGTCTTCCAGGAATATCGGAGACCGCAATGATCTTCGCTGGTGTTGATGTGACAAAGGAACCTGTTCCCGTCCTGCCCACCGTCCACTATAATATGGGCGGTGTGCCGACCAATTACAAGGGTCAGGTAAGCCACCGCTAATCAAACATTGCCATTGAGCGCCCAGATCTTACTTTAAAGAATTTCGAGGGCTCTTACCCAGCCGCGAGGCTGTGCATCCACCTCAGGTTCTTAACTCGGCCTCCATTTTCATTCAGGTCATAACTTACGACCCCATCGCCAAAAAGGACAAACTTGTGCCTGGACTGTATGCTGCTGGTGAGGTCGCGTGCGCTTCCGTGCATGGAGCCAACCGTCTGGGTGCAAATTCACTCCTCGACCTGGTTGTGTTTGGGCGTGCCTGCGCCCTTGACATTGCTGAAAAGCATAAGCCTAATGATGCTGGTCCCGAACTCCGTCCCGATACGGGCATGGAGTCTATTGTCAACATTGACAAACTCCGCTCCGGCAAAGGCGAATTCCCTGTAGCCGACGTAAGTCTTCGTCTTTAAGGCGGTAATGAGTGCCCGGGTTGCAGTGATACGACAACTTGTTATTCTCATTTTCCACTTTTAGGTCCGCCTCGAAATGCAACTTACGATGCAAGAGCATGCCGCCGTCTTTCGGGAAGGTCCCACTTTGAAAGCTGGGTGTGAGAAGATGCTTAAATTGTACAATGAGAAGATGCACAAACTTAAGATTTCTGACAAGAGCATGATTTGGAACTCCGACCTGATCGAAGCAATTGAGTTGCAGAACCTGATGCTCAATGCCGTCCAGGTACTTAATCGACCCTTGCGTAGTGTTTTCTGATGTAAAACCCCGGGCTAACAATGACTCGTTTGTTTTCGGTAGACAATCGTCGCGGCGGAGGCTCGCAAAGAATCCCGTGGCGCCCATGCCCGTGAAGACTTCAAACAGCGCGTTGATGAATATGACTACTCCAAACCCCTCGAAGGCCAGACCAAGAAACCTTTCTCTGAGCACTGGCGGAAACACACTCTAACGACACAAAACGTCGAGACGGGCGCCGTGAAACTTGAATACCGTCCAGTCATCGATAGCACTCTGAACGAGAAGATCTGCCCTACAGTCCCACCAAGGATTCGTTCCTACTAAGCGCTTGGAGTGGCCCAGCTTCGGGTATGTCTACCAAAATGCCCTCATTTCCATGCCCTCGCGGGACGGGCACTTTTTTTATTATATGCTCTTTTTTTCAGAGCGCCAAGATCTCGTCCTGTCAAGAGCATGACGAGTGCAACTGCCAAAGAGTTGCCGCAAGACCCTGTTGTTCTTATTCCTTCCTGAATAGTCAACTGGTTCATGTAAGCTTTCTTATCGTGTAGTATACTTTCCTTCCACCTTGTGTACCTGCGCCACTGAATTTGTTGCTTCTTAATATAGTTCTTAATTTGTTTCTTCCTTCGTTCTTGGCTGGGCGGCCCCGTCTTGTCTTTTTCGTCAATCTGGAAACTAGGCAACCAGGCGCGTTTACCTACTGACGGAGTCTTATCATTACGTCCGTTAATCTTGAGGCGGATTGTAGTGATGGCTGGTGGGATAGGTGGACTCAATGAATGAAGTGGGCATAATCAGCTGAATGACTCCAGATGATTTCTTTTAAGTGCATTAATCATGTATCTTCAGTGTAGAAGGATTGTCCGGACTGCGTACTCAGCTCGGCCTTGCGACTGACCTCACTCCGGGCTAAGGAGTGCCGATAGCCAAGCGGGGGCCTCGCGCACCTGGTTGGTCCGACGCCTGCTCCTATCTCTGTCGTATGCGTTTGGCAGGAAGTTCGATACTGGGTTGCTGGAACTGTCCTTGGGCTAAGGGTAGGAGCAATTCATTGGACACCCCAAACCGTGAGGCCCAAAACGGTAATGCCTGTTTATGTAGGACGGCCTTTTTCCGATTGAATACTGCCGCCTTGCATATCAAGTTATGTTCCTACGAAGCAGTTCTTTGCGCCGGAATGTGTTCGGCGTAGCCAGGACCTGTAATACACGTGCCATAGTCTACTGTAACCCCGAGTGTTTTGCCAGCGCCTCCCCTTAGACTGGATCAGATAAGTGAACAGGGTTGAGGAGAAAAGAGATGCTGGCGATGACATCCAGTAACCGGATTGCTACTAACACGGGGTCTGGTCTCCGTCCAGTTATTGAAGGCCTGGGGCACTCGGGGCTGATTCGACGGCAAGCCATCGTGAGGTTTAGATGAGAGCACGGACCCCCAATGGGCAAGATACACCGCAGGGGCAAATGAATAGGCCGCGACCTATCTGACGGCTCGTGAAGTGGTAAGTACCGATAAGCATATTCTCGCTACCATCGAAGGCCAGCGTGAGGCAGTCGGTCGTGCGTCCCGCGGATGGCGTGAGACTTGGGAGGCAGCAGGTGAGACGGTTTTCGCAAGAGGCCGGGAACTTTGTAAATGCCGGGAGGTGCGCTAACATTTAAAATAAACGGGCCGCCGAGGCTTTGGGCCATCCGAGGTCCTCTAAAATCTACCAGAGAATGTCAAACGGTCGGGACTTGCGTCCTTACCCGAGGACAAGTATGCATAGGCCTGAGACGACGTACACCCTCAGAAGCATGGAAACCCTCAACCAAGCTGGACCAACGGCCCTAATACCTAAGTCGGTGTCCTCGGGAATGACGATTGATCTTTGGAGGTAGCAACCTTGCTTTGGAGCCACCAGTGGATTTCTTCTACGTTTTTCCGGGACGATGGATCGCGGAAACGCTGATTGTGTCACTGTGTCCAGAGTATCATCTGGTCGCCGGGGCTTCGAAACCGGATGTATCCACAGCCGTCTCGGTCTCCTACCATAGTAGGGGGCGGCGTGTGTAGAATAGTAAATGGAACGAGAGGTTTTAGATCGTAATGGTTTGTGGACTATCTGCCGAGTGAAGTGCATAGATTTCTTCCTCAACGACGCAGTCCGTGTTTGGTGCAACAACATATCGATGATTGATCCAGCCTACCCAGACACCAAAGTTGATTTGGTCAAGTCACGTTCTTTGTCGCCTCGCGGAAGTCGTTTCGCAGTTGACACCGCCGAGTCTCCACGGTGGTGTTTTCATCCGGGGCAGGCAGTTCTTCCAGGTGCTGACCCAATTGATTGCTGAAATGCAAGCGGTGAGCGGACGAATTCGACAGAACAGTGTTTGACTTACCTGGTGGTCGCTTACCCTGTGGTCTTTTGCGGGCTTGCAGCCGGAGGCTCATCTTGGAGGTAAGAAAGCGGTGATCCGTCCAGCCGTTACTTCGCAGGTAGCCTTGGTCACCAGTACGTCAAGTCGATCTCGTTCCCCGGACGAGATGGTAGTTCCAGCGTCACGATCGGAGATGCATCCAGGTCTCCTTCTCCCTCTTCGACAGGCTGAAAGTGTTGACAAGCGGAAGGCGGTGCTCCGCGCAGGTTCTCTCCAGGAGGTCGTCGTCGCATCTACCGATTTCACGGGGACCCAGCACTCCTCCAGGCAGCGCATTCTTTGAAGACACAAAGGACAACCAGCTTGTCTCCCTTCGGAAAAGTCTCCAGAAGGGCGTGTAGGTATTTGTAGAACTTGGTCTTCTCCTCGCCGGAGCTGATCATTAGGGAGATGTAGACGCTGACGATGAGAGAAAATTTGCCTCCCCGGAGAGACAGACGCGGGCTCGTCAGACGGCCGTTGATGCTCTGCGGCAGACAGGGCAGTTGTTCCACGATATGGCTGCGGTCTGCAAAAGCGACACCTGCGTCCCATCGCTCTACGTTTGGACGGCCTCTCCAGAGAAAGGTGTAGTCGGCACCCACCTCCTCCAGCTGGCCTTGTTTGGAGAAGCGGGTCTCGCTGAAAACAGCGATGTCCAATTTGTGGCGTGCTCGCCCCTGAGGGACGAGCGCCGTCCGCCATTTCGGCCGACTGCTACCCGTACTGTCTAGAGGCACGGACATTCCAGGCCGCCAGAGTGGGCGGACTCATCTAGGCAGTCTTTGGGGTGAGAAGGAGGGTAGGAGGGTGGAGAGAGCTCGTTGTTGTTCGTTGTAGTTGTCCGACCGTGAGTTTTGCATCTAGGAGCTACGGCATTCTAGCAGATGGAGTGATTTCCCAACACTTTTTGGGACACATTTTCTAGTCCTTTTCCCACCAGTAATAAACAGCGCTATCCCTAAATAGAGCTGCCTAGACATCCCAGGCGGCCGCGGAAGTCAACTATTGGTCACGGTTTGGTTTAGTGGGAGAGCTACCCGAGTTAGCCTGGACCGCCCACGGAATTTCATTTCGCCCTCTCCACAGGGCTTTTGGAGTGGAAGGGGGAGGGAGGAGGGACAGTTGGGGAGGTAGAATGCGAGGGGGCAGAATTACCTGGTGTGGAGACACACAAAGCACCGGACATCGTCATCTATTTTGGTCAGACGGTGAAGCTGCTTACCGAAGTGTATTCGCTAGGCAGAGTCTAGCTTGGGGGAGCCACAGATGAGAATAGGATGCCAGCCAACGTGCAACCTGTCACCCCTGCATGGGTGACCCTGACTGGACGCTCCCTACGCCCCACACGAACACACGACAATGACAGTAAGACCGTCGAGGGGCTTATGTGCGGCTGTTAAGCTTGACGGTCGTACCCGACGATGACAACCGTGTGCTCCACAGTAAGGGGAAGCAGGCATGGTGACTTGTGCATGAAATATCGCGAGAGTAGACATGCGCAGCATCCACCGCAATCCCACCCCCTCTCCACATGGACCCGATATCAAGACACAGTCGCTGGAAGAAGTGATTTACCGGCCCGACGTTTCGGATTCTCACTCGAATCCGACATCAGAGACGGAGTCAGGCTAGGGTAGTGGGTTACCTAGGTGTTGCAATATTTATAGGATGTAGTTGCTAGGCCACTGCATGCCTACCACAGCTGGCAGCTCTCGATTGCGTCACATCTCGACTGGCCAGATGTTGAAGTATGCCGTTGCCATGCAGTTGCCATGCTCCTGTATGCACGTTCTCGCTGCTGGCTACTTTGCCTAGACTAAGTCTCAGCGCCGACTTTGGAGAGGGGAGGTCGTTGCGCTTGTTGATTGGTTGAGGACCGGAAAACGATGTCTCGAGCACTCGTCCCAACGATCATGTCTCCTTCTCCGCGACTACTTCCCGGAACTCCCCTCTTTACTTCTGCTGGCAAACTGAGGAATCCATCTTCACGATAAACTGGCGTATTCTCCACTGTAGTAAATTTGATGACGCACTAAGAGTCCTGGTCTGTGAGGCTGCCAACTTACGGGATAACTCGGTCCTTCTCAGGCCCCTCTCAATATGGCCTTTGTGACATTCTTATGCCTGTCCGTACTCCTAATCACTGATTTGTGTCGCGTCCTTCTGTCTGCATCACGCACACAAAACACAACAACAACAACAACTCCAAGCGAACGACAGCTTGGGGTGACTGCTCGCAGAGCCGTTGTCTGCTCTTTCACCTCAGTAAAGCTTGTCCAACCAACTTGTCTTCTGACTTCGGAACCTTCTGGTCGTCGACAATTACATCTCGACATTCTCATCAGTGTGAGACCCAAGTCGTCCTCACGAAATCTGGGACAAGGTCATGTGTGTGGCACGCGTAGACGGGCTGTTTAGCTTTGTCAGCTACTGCACCTGAGCACACCTGTAGTGGCCGTACTACGAGTGTCTGCTGCAACACTGGGCCTCTCGCGAATGTCTGCAAGTGCGCAACAGGGCTGTCTGGCATCCACCCACCCAGCTCTCCAACTGGTCAGTCTAATTGAAGGCCGAGTCAAACGTGGTCTGTTTTAAGACGCTTTAACGCATTCCCTCAGAGGACGGTTGAGGGCGCCGCTCACCCGGCGTCGGACATGTCCTCGTCCGACTGCCAACTCCTTCTCCGGTTATTATTCACTGGAGTCTGTCTTCTCTTTCCATTCGGGACCGGGCCTGAAGGTCGTGTTAGTAAGGAGTCTTTCACACTCGGCTTAGGCTTCTGCGATATACCTTCGGTTGTCTTGAGACTGTCCTGCCATCGAAGTCAGGTGGGTGAGGGATGAGAGGGTGCAGTAGATGTTCTGCATGTCTACCTCACTTTAAAATAACTCACGCACAAGTCCACTCCATGAGGTGCACGGTGGACGCCGTCAAAATGTCGAGTATCGCAAACGCAAGTGCGCTCAGGAAGAAAGGTCGCATTTACCTTCTGGACCCACCGTTTCTGGGGTCCTTACTTCAGTGACGAAGTCACTACAGTGAAAGCGGCGGTTGACAACGCGTCTATTTGAAGGCATACGTCCAGAACGGCGACCCCTGGGACGGTTGCCTCAATAAACCTGCAGTCCGCGTTTAAAGACGTGGACTCAGTCTGCACACGCTTAAACTGCGACCGCGTATCGGACGACGAAGATGGCCGGAGCCAGTAGACAAACTGCGGGACCTGTGTAGCCGACTGAAACAGTGACTTAAACATGTATTACATTTCTACTGGGAAATTGTTCATAGTGAGCTCTCGATTGTTTACTTGGAAAGGAGGACAGTTGGCATCCACAGAGGTCAGTAGTGACTAAATCCACTTTCCACTCACTGAGGTATCCAGCTCGCGGCGAGAATTTGGGAGGCAGGGCTGACGGAACGCTCTTTTTTAACAGTGGACACGATCGCTTGATGGCTGAAAGTTTAACTGGTTTGCAAATGCGTTCTCTAAGGTCCTGAGAGATGAAATGTATCGGAAGCATGAGCGGAAAAACTAATCCGGGATCGGTTTTGCAGACCAAGCGCATGAAGATTGCCACCAGCGGGGAAATCGGCCTTTCTTAGGGTTGAGGGTCAGACTGTAAGACCTCTTGCCTAATATGGCTCCCGTTAGTGTAATTTGCCGATAAATACGAAAAGGCAAGTGTCAGGACGTGGCCGAGAGGAAGGAGACTCGATCACTGGCACGAAAATATTGTTCGCTCAGTGTGCCGGGTTTGTAGCTGCCCGCTCTCACGCCGCCGCTTCTCCCATGACGCCTCCGTGACACAATCCCATCCATTGTCTGCCCCGCGGCCTCCTACTGTAACATCCATCACCCTTCACTGCTTCCACCCCTGCCCGCACTCAGCCCTGTCCCTCCCGCCTGTGCTACACGTAGTGGGCGCCGTGTTCTCTTTCCTGACCGTTTGGTAACTCGCGTTTCTTAGACGTGAACATGTCCCTCGCTATCGCTACACGCCGCCTTCGGTCTTGGCCGGGGGTACTGTAGATCCTCGCTCCCACGGTCGTCAGCGTCGCTGCCGCTACCGCGACTTCGCCATGCAGCCTCTTGCTCGCCTATGCGCGCGACTCAACCTCCGACTTGCGGCGCCCATCGATATTCCCCTCCTCACCGATTGGTCGCAGCCGGACGAAGTTTGTGCGTATGCACTTAAACTGACAGTGGCTTGGTGAGAACACTAGCTACACTGCTTGCGGGGCTGTCCGTACGCTTTCTGTCTCTGTAAAGACTTGTCCGTCTACCTTCTGATTTTGGAATCTTCAAGTTGCAACCATCCGCTCTCGACAGGTTCACGCCTGAACTCATCACCACAGGTAGCAGACCGACGGGAACAGTTGTAAGGGTATGTTATGTGACCCCACAATATTTTGGGACTTCAAGGTTGTCGAATACCCTACCGTGACAGATGCGTGCTCGAACTCATCACCGCAGATAGCAACAGGCAGAGGCAATGGGCACCTGTAAGACAAAGTTTCCTCGTAATCACACGACCACTAAAATTAGTATCTCCCGTGCTCGCCGCAAACGTCAGTACATGAGACGATAAATGTCCCATGCGGGTCCACCCCATCAAACGCACTGACATGCGAATTTAACGCTGTGGTGTTGGCAAGGAAGAATTCGGACGTCATGTCGTCAATCAGCTGACGATAGCCCAAGAAACGATTCTGTGACGGTCTTAAGTGCACAAAGAAGGCGACTTCCTGTGACATATCGGGCCGCTCAAAAGACACTGAACTACGGACTGACTAAATGATCGTTGCGATGTCTTGATTTTTTATTCGCAAACTCTGTCATCACAGTCTGATTGTCTTCACAACCCATTAAGGACCTTTAGACTCCGCGCTAGCTGGGCCATGGCGCCTTTTATGTCACATGCCTGTTTATTTCTGTTTCCGGGAATCTGGCAGCCAAGACCGTCAAACTGCTCCTGACAAGCTACCATGCCGAAACGGAGGATGATCTCAGACACACCCGAATCTTCCAACTCCTGAATTTCTGTCTAAAAACGTGTTGCACGTTTTTCAGAGCGACCTAAGACCAACTGGGAGGAATATCAATGAGTACTTTGGTGTCTGGACTCAGCCCAGGTGAGCTTCGAATAATTGTAATCGTTTTTTGTTCGAAAGCCAACGATCAAAACCCTGGGCTCGGTGTGTGAATAATACCTTTGTCGCCCCTGAACGTAATCACGTGTTAGTTCTCAAAGGACGTCTCCACGTCGTCTTCCTCGACAAAAAATTCACCTTTCCTCCATAAAGTCTTGTCCATCTGCCTGTCTCTCTTGCCCTCTGGTTTGGGAACTTTGAAGTCGTCGACCATGGCACCTTCGACAACTCGTGACTGCCTTCTGAACATCACGCTTTTCTTCCTCCAAGTCTACGCAATAGTCAGACGTCAGAAGTGCAACAGATGTTGGCACCCACTTCTAGCATTCTTTCAAGCATCCACCTCACCCGGATGGTCAACCGCCTGATGGAGATGCGTGGTTTCGTCGAACCCTTTTGTTCGCACTTTCAACTCTATCAGACTCGCCTGAGTCTTCTCTCCTGAAATCGAGGTCGCAGATAACGAATCTCCCACAGGAATTAGCCCCTCTTCGACGACAAGCAGCCTCTTTTTCATCTCGCTGCGCATCGGCCTCATCCACGCGGCAAATCTAGCACATTTTTTCACCTCCCCCAGCACAACTACAACATG